GTATAAAGAGTCTCTAAATGGAAATTTAATAAAAAGTGAACAAATTAATACGATGAAATTTGTTAAAAGTGTTCCATACAAAATGATTGTAGTTCCGTCTAATTTAACCAATGTTAGGAAAAGATATGTAGTGTTTGATTTTAATGACAGGTTAGTTGATCTTAAAGGATTCATGTTAAGTAGAAAGAATGAATTGAAATATATAAGTAAATTTCATAGAGTTATGTTTGAAAAGATAGTTAAAGGAACGTCAATAGAGAAAGTTTATTTGGGGTTGGTTGATAGTATTAAATATTGGAATGAATTTATTAATTTGAAAGGATATGGTGTTAGTGAGGATAAGATACTTGAACTGTTTAGTGAAACTAAAACAATGAATAAAGAATATCCTGATTGTGATAGCGGAAAGTCGAATGTCGTATCTGCTGCAACTAAACTGTCAGAATTCTTTAATATTAATGTGCCTGTGGATAAGATTAAATGTGAATATTTTGTGTCAAAATATCCAGTAGAAAGCTGTGTTGCTGATAGAGTTATTCCTAATCTTGTGTACAAATCAGAGAGAAAAGAGTATTTTTTGAACAAATGGCTGGGAAATATTGATTCTTATGATTTAAAGGATATAATTGATTGGAGTTATTATAATAAGAGATTTGAGAATAATGTTGAAAGATTGGTGACAGGACCTGCTGTTAATCAGGGAATTAAAAGTGTAGTTGATGAGATTAGATCACTGAAATGGAATAATTCAATTAAACAACTAGAATTGTCTAGAAAAGGTAAGTTTAAGTATACTTCTTGCAAACAAACTGATGTTGAGAATGTTTTTTATACATCGAAAAGATTGAAGAAATCTTTAAATGATAAGGTGATTGCTGAAGATTGTGTTATACCTTATAAAAATGAAAATATTAATAAGCCAAATTATAATCTAACATTTCATGAATTCATACTAAAATACAAAGATCAGTGGATAAGACATTATAATAAAAGAATTGCGGGTGTTGAAAGTATTTATGAGGTTAGTAGTGTAAAGGATGAGTTAACAATTACATTGTTTAATAAGAGTGTAAAAATAAAAGATTTTACTAGAAAATTATATTTACAAGTTAATGATGAGAAATATTATGAAATGTTTAAATCAGAGTTTAAGTTTTTACCAAATATTACTGAAAAGTTTAAAATGTTTAAAATAGAAAAAAAGGCAAGTGAACTTGAAATGTATGTTAAAGATAATTTAAAAACACATTTTTCAGTTAAAGGATTTTATTTACTTGATGATAAATTATTTGAACTCTTATTACA